AAAAAAAAAAAAAAACAACATAACTGATACTTAGAGCCATAATGCTCCTTCCTAATTTTTCATTGGTGTTTCCATGCACGAAGAAAATTCAAGACTCCGAATGATCATTTTATAAAGACACCTACTCGCTTTCAGTCTGATTATATTTCACAGCGGTATGATGATAGATTTCCTCAATTCCTGTATTTGGAAAAAAAAGAAGAAAACTGAAACCTAGCTAAGACAGCCCGGTGGAAATATTTAAGTCAATCAAAAAACCGAGAGAGAAAGTGCAATCGCATTGTCACTGTGAATATTGTGATGTACGGTTGTTTGGTTGCTGTTGTTTGTCTTGGGCGGTGGTTGAAGGGAATGTAGAGATGGTGGTGGTAGTGGAGCTTTGTTAGTAAATACGCACTAAACTTGCTGCCAGTAGCGTAGCTAACTTAGCGACGCCTTAAATATCATCTCGATACTGAAGAAAATGCTATCTAAATTGAACTTCAGAAAACTGGAATGAGTATATTCCAGTTTCACTTACGTCAACATGCAACATCACAGAGAAATAACATCAATACGAAATATGCGGGTAATAAGGCTTGACATCAATTAAATGTGGTGCAAAAGCGGCAGTGGATCAGCAAACACGAAGAGGTTCAAGGCCTAAAGCAACCTGGATGGCAGATTTCAAATAATATACGCAATTTGCTTAATGAAGTTTTTAATCCAATATCATCAGTTATCTAAGTGCAACTAAAGACATCTGAAAAGCGATACCATTAGCAACTTTTGTTTATGGCTTTGCCCGTTGGTTTTACTTGGCACATTCTTTGGCCCCATTCAGAATAGGGGATTAACTAGTACGAGGGTCAAATATGGCGAACCACTACAAAGCTTGCCGTCTAATCCGCTAATAGACATTGAATAGATATCCCGTGGGGAAGTACTCAAGTGGGTCTGCCATATTTGACCCTCAGACTAGTTAGTCCCCTATTCTGAATAGGCCTTTGGCTTGCATTTTTGATTCATTTGTTTGATGTTTCTGTTTTGATTTAATGTAAAACATTTCTATATAATGTTTAGATATGGCAGATACATAAAAAAACAAAAGAAAACATCACACACACACACACACACACACACACACACACACAGGTCATTCGTGCAATAACTAGTTACGTGGCATATGTATGGCCGCATTCCCAGTCAAAATCGATCCGCGGACTAACAGCTCGGCGGATCAAATATGGCCAACCCACTTAAAAGCTTAGCGCGTTACCCCCAAGGAGAATCTCTTCAGTGACTACAAGTGGATTATGCGGCGAGCTTTCAAGTAGATCGGCCATATTTGATCCGCGGATCAACTTGTTCTAAATGCGCCCTATTTCTCCTAACATGGGGAAGGACTGCGTAGCGAATAGCTAGTCTTCGCCTAAATCAGTCGCCATATTGCCAGGAAAATTAGACTGGATTGTTTCCTAAATGATGGTCTTTAATTCACAATAAAAGCACCTGAACTAAGGTAAGCATAGTTTATCGACACAAGAACACACACCAACTTATTTTTTATCCAGGACGCTAAGCCACTCGTTGGGCAGAGCCATTACTGAATCCGATTACATTCACTTCAGTGAGGAACAATTATTCGTCTGAACTGACTAATGGAAATGACTCGCTAATTGAATTCTTGTATTTTTTTCTTGAGGGATAACATACGAGCGCACATTAAATCTTTTTCCCTTCAATACACAGGTGTGACGGCGATACAATCTACTACTAAGTGAATAGAAAACGCTTGAAGTACTTCACCGCGTATTGGGTCTATACACACACACTGCTGCGGTCGGACGTACAGCTTTGGGTTGTTATAAATTCCGTGTTCTGAGTCAAAGGTTTACGATCATACTTAATTATAAAAGCTAATTTGAGCATAAGAGCTGGCATATAAGCACCAAACGGTTAGCAAAAAAAAACAAACATGCACAATATCTCGAAACCAAGCATTATTCAGTATCGATTCCTCTTGGTCTGAGAGTGCATCTGAATATTATCCGGATCGGGCCCCTGAGATGCAATTAAATTTCACTCAATGTACGTCCAATTCAAAACGTTTTCATACCTAACGTTGAAGTAAAATATAAGAGTGGCTAAATTTGTAGATGATTACCTGCATGGTCAAAATTAAAACTTCTTGTTTGACGCTCTTGCGTTTTCATGCTTACGTAATATTAGTCAGTTTGAGCAATAATATTAAAGCTAGACCTACGGATCGTTATTCACAAATTGACACCTTTTACTATAGTAACATATATAATCATATACAAGCAAGCAAAATTTTGGTATAAAATCTGTACAGTCATCTGCAATGAAACCAATTTTGATGATTTCATCATGTTATTTGTAGCCAAACAGCTTACGTCTAAAAGCACGGTTTTCACGTAAATAGAAACTGAATAATCGTTTATGGTTCTTGCTTAATAATTGTTCAGTTTTATTATTCGCCTACCTTACATCATCTAACGGAAGAGTATATGAAAATGAGTGAACACTAAGCCCTCATTTTGTCACTAATGAGATTCCCATCCACGTTTAGTTTTTTATGTTTAGTAAGATAAAAAGGTAATCACTAATTGCCGTCAATATCAATATCATCCTGTTTAAAGTTGTTTTCTTTCAGGTTGAAAGATTGATGTTCACTGGCAGCGCTAGCGGCATAGCCGGTATTCTTTCGGGGTTGCTCAAACGGAATAACGGTTCTCCTGCTTCAATCAAGTCGGTAACTTCCTGTATGCAACTATTACTTTAATTCATTATTGCCGTAATGAATGTCATTTGTGGTAATGCCAACATAATAACGTTTTCACATGACGTACACCGTTGCAATTATGTTCGTCTAAAACCTTATTTTGAGAATAGGTTGACGACCTCACTTTTTCGGCATCTTTTTAAAGCTATGATCGGAATTTGGGATCCCATTGTCCTTTATTTGATAAGTTTCTCACGCAAACCTACGATGATTGTTTCACCGGTACCAGAAAATTCTTTATCGAGTAGAGCAAATGGAAATCTCTGGTAGAATCAAATATTTTTTTCCAACAAAAAGTACTCAACACCAACACCATCTCAAATGGGAAACAATTTATATTAGCTTTCATCTTTACCTTGATTAAAGTGCCATTTACGATGTCGTAATTCAACGTTCGAACCCTTGTTAAACTCCGCCATTTCCTGTGCTGACAACACACGTTTCATTAATAAAAGATCAAACATAAAATTTGACATGAGAAAGAAAGAAGCAATCACCCACATTATCTAAAACATTCATTTCAAATTTCACGATCTGGTTTCAATTTTGATTTTCTTAATAATGGAGCCAGTATATGGGAATAAAGTACTGATATTCCTTTCAAATGTCTCTTAAGACCAAAATCAAGGTCAAAATCATACAAGTGGAAAAAAGAAATGAATGAGCGAAATGTGGTAGAGAAGACGCCTTTCTCAGCTGGCACAAATCAGAAGCATTGGATCATTCCTCAAACCCAACTTATTTTAATGTTAAACACATTCAATTGGTTAAATTGAGTTCTCTCAAATATTTATTTATTTATTGTACTGTCTTAATATAAGTCTTCCTTAGGTTGTCAGATTGTGCAAAAATGCTTTTCCACCTACCATACATGGTGAAAACTTTGGAGATACTGAAGGTCTGGAGGAGATGTGATTGTGATTTATTATCTAGTGATTTATTATCAAGTGATTTATTATTATGTATTGTATTTTCACATAAACCTTGACAGTCCAGAGGACTTGCGATATCAAAAAAGATTCAGGTCTTCTGGCATTTCAAGTGACCTTGACCTGCTGGTTAGGCAGTTTCCCTTATCATATCATCATCATCATCATCAATCCACTGCTTTGCCATTTTAAAAACAAAAACTATGGCCATTGATTCAACCTTAATCATTACATAGACAAGCCCAAATATACATACACATTTCAGCAATTGGGAAAGTTTATCTATAAAGTTTTTGTCTGTCCCTCAAGCAGTGCATAAGCAATTGATTACTCTAGGATACAGGATGCATACTTCCCATTTTTTCACTTTCCCATCCTTCACAATGACATGTAACGCATAATCAAGCCAATCAAGGGATATTAACACATTTTAATCATGTGACCCTGTCCTTCCAATAACATCTAGTTTGTATATTGTTATCCTGCCATAAAAATCTGTGCTGCTTGTAAATACAATGCGAAGCTTGCTGACTGGAGGAGCAGGGGTCAATGTAAATACCTAAGAAATATGAGAAAGAAAATAATGATCCTTTGTTTAATCATAAAAAACGATGCCAACATGTGGAATTGTGAACTGAATTTCAAAGTGTTGCGATGAGGAAATTATACATTTAACAAGAAATATTTAGACTTGTAAAGGACACCACCATTCACAGGTGTGGCTATAATGTTCAATAAGGGCAACACAACGTAATACACTAGAAAAATTGAGTCCAGTCGTAAATAAACACAGAAAATGGTCATTCCTAACAAATACAGTAATATAACAGCGAAATATATTATTAGGTTATTAATAAATAACAAATCAGCACAACTTGTTTATCGTTGGGTAAGATGCCATGTTGGTGAGTGGCTGTTCTTTTCAATAATACCAACCATGAAGATCCACTTGCCAACATGGCAGGCGACCCAACAACAAGTTGTGCCGATTTCTTAAGTTGTATCAATGATATTTATTACCAAGTAATATATTTCACTTTCATATGACCCTATTTTGTAGGGAATGACCATTTCCTGTGTTTATTTGCCACTGGGCTTGCTTGTTTTTTGTAGTGTATTGGGCTGTGTTGCACTATATTGAGCTGTACAGTGCATTATAGTCATACTGACCGTTCATAATTTTCCCATTACAATAATTGGTGAAATGTGATTCTTGGTAAGTAATAGTTTACTCAAACATTTCAAAGTACATCTAAAAACTACAATGCTGAACAGTGTGAAATATACCTGAAGCTTATTGGAATCCTCTGGAAAAATCTTTGTTAGTTCTGTAAACTCATCACTTTCAATGCTGGCAACTTGGACATGACATTCTTTCCCTGCAAATCCTCCTTGGAACTGTATATGGAGTTCCTCTATTACCACCTGCTTTGAAAATTCAAGTAAAACCCATTGGGGAGAACCCTGAAGGATAAGAACAGCACTGCTAATAAGTTATCTTCTGAACCCCTGTAATTATTTTATCATTCATTTAAATGTATCAAACTCTTAGATTACAAAGGGAAAAAAAGATTTAAGTTCATATCTTTATATTTCATTAAAATCATTATTCATGATAATTATTCATGTTTTGTTTTTGTACTGACTTGATCTGAATTCCAACATGTTTCATCATCTCCATCTAATAGAAACTTCTTCCCAAACTGCTTCACATCTCTGTTGAGAACTGAGCTTACCCTAAATACATGCAAAGCAATATATATATATATATACACACACACACACACACATACACATTGGCAAAATTGATATAGAGAAACAAACTCAGTGCATCTTTTGTTGATAAAAGCTTCACTGTACATATATGTATACATATATTTAAAGCACAAGTTTCATGCGTTAGCATTCCTATTTAAGGTTCCTGACCGGTACTATTTGCTACAATGTACAGTAAGTGTCAGAAACTGTAAAAAGGAAACTGTTTAAATTATATAAGAAGCAAGCTTGCATTCCCTTCACTTCTACTATAGTTATCATATGACTTAAATAAAATCTACATGAAAAGGGATAAACCAATTAATCTCCCAGTCAGCAAAAATAAATAAATAAATAAATAAATAAATAAAAAATAAATAAAAAAATTAAAAATAAAAAAAATTAAAACTTCACCTTTAATAAATTTCTGGTCATAAACTTGACCTTTTTATCTGTCCCTCCAGTTCCCAAAAATCCGTAAAATACTGCAGTAATATACCCAATAGCATACTAGTACATTTTCTAATAAGACTTAAATCTTGATGGAAACTACCAGGGATATACACCACACAGTAAGAAAGCAGAAAATAGCTATTCAAAGGCCGTTTCTCAGGGAGTATGGGACATATAAAACCCTTTGACATTTTTTAAGTTGAGAAATTTGAAACTACTAGTATATGATGGCATTCACTTGTTAAGTGGCAAGTGTTTGACTTCATATACAGTATAACTTAAAAACGCCTGAAACATGCTGCATTAAAAAAAGGGACTGCTGGTTACATGATATTCAAAATGCATTTTTGTTAATATTACACTTTCATATATGTTTGCCTGTCTTGATATTGGTTTTAAATGATTGTGCAATTGTAAAGGTGAAGTCTAAAAACTCAATGCTAACGTTAATCCGACTAATACCAGGACGTTAAATAAGATAAAATGAAAGGTACCCCTGTCTCTGCCACTTGACTTAAAACAGGATTTAAAATTCAGATCAGTAGTGTAAAAATCATCTGTCATGTAAAAATGAACATTTTCTCTCTGAAAAAGTTAAAGGAAGTGGTTAAAATCTCACCGGTAATTTGCCAAGCTCTTCAGAATGGAGGCTGACATGCTTCTTTATTTATGCTTCAAGTGGGTACTATTGTCGTATTAAAAAATTGAAATGGTAATATTGGAGACTTTATAACATCTTAATAAAATCAATAAATGAAGTATAAAAATTCTCAACTGTCTCATTCTAATATTTTTATATATATTGTACTTTGCCTTGAAGAAAACCCGATTATCCACACCTACATGTCGTAAATCCATAGTACCCTTTTTCAAAATGCACAAGGTGTTTTCGTTGCGTCGAGCACCACAAATCCCTGTTCAATTATCTATTTGCAGATTCAGTTCGAAATTTCCTGGTAAGAAAGCTAAAGACAAAACATATGCGCAGGTTTGATATGGTTTTATTCTAATTTCAATTATGCCATTTCATTGATTTAACCACTGAACGTTTGAGTTTCACCCCAACACTGCAGCAGCAGGGTCTAAAAAGTTAAAATTTCAAGACCATAGGCTTACTGTTGTTGGGGTGATACTAGTTTATTTCAGTTTTGGGCCTAGCATGCTACGCAGAAAACTGGGACAACGCACGCTCGGCTGTCACCTTGATTGGATAGTAAACGATTGTCGTAAAATCGCTAAATGATATTAAAACCGGGTTCATAAACTTGAAAACCACCTACATGTAGGACAACCTTAGACTGCCACATTAATCCAATACAATGCAAAAATAAACTATAACAAGTGGTTAGAGCCTTCAAACCGAATGTCGTAAAGTCCCCATATACCTCCATAGAGACAATAAAATAGAGTCAGCTTGTGAAACAAGAAGCCACAATTTTAAACAGAATAATCGAAATAAAACACTGCCGGGCATCGGAGCGGCCTAAAACTTGGCACGCTTACCGCAAATACTGCAGGCTACATCATCCCGTCACTCGTTTGTAAATTCCGTAAATCAAAATTCCACCTCATATGTTTATATCGGTCCTCTCTACAATCAAATTCAGGAAATGACGTAACCGCAGAGNGTGGGACAACGGTATAATCGGTCAGCAAATAATGTTTAATTCGTACAAGGTAGAGGCAGAGTTAGACCTTAAACAGGAAATATATCTCTGGTCCCGGAATTTAGTTTGACGTTTAGGTTTGATTTTGATTTAAAGCTTCCCATTATTAATTGAATTAACATTGTGCCTCTACCTGAGGCAAGTCCTTGATGCACTGAGAAAATGATTATGCGACACATGGTAATTGATGCACTATTTATATTTTAATCAATACGTGAAGTGCCCCTTTTATAATTTTCCAGGAAAGTGGACCTAAACCCTCAAGAGAAGAAATGGCTGTAACACAAAATAAAGATGGAAATGTCACTATAAGAATTATGGCCAAACCAGGTGCCAAACAGAATGCCATAACAGGTGAAGTTCAAATTACATTTAGCTTACTCTATAACTATTAGAATTTACTTTTCATATTTCAGTAACAATAATGTAAATACAAGATTCTACTATGCCTTCTGTGCATATTTTGCCATATTATAAACATTTATTCACTTGATGTTTTTCATTTTGTCAGATATTTCAGAGGAAGGCATTTGCGTCCAGATTGCAGCTCCACCCGTTGATGGGGAAGCAAATGTGGAGTTAACCAAATACATTGCTAAATTACTTCAGATTAGGAAGTCTGATGTCTCACTGGACAAGGTATATTAACACATTACCTAATACCTCAGTGTTAACTGCTGTGACTGAGTAAGTTAGTTAATACTAATATATCTTGTGTTGGCCATGGGAAACTATTGTAGTAGGAGACCAATCATGCAAAGATGGCTTTTTGTAGCTTCTGTGCCATGAGAAACTGAACTGAACCATTTCTTAGCATTACCTTTCCAGTAGCATTAATATTATCATACTTATTTATAAAGATGGAAATGGTTTTCCTTTATTCTGTTTTTTTTCTCCCCCACCCTTTTTTGTATTTACAATTATTAATCACAGCCAATTTGATTGATAACTTTTTCAATTCTATGCTTGTCTCATTACAGGGAGCTAAGTCAAGGAACAAAAGTCTGACCCTCTCAGCTTCTTCAGCTCTCACTAAAGCTGAAGTACTAGCCACTCTCCTTAAAGCAAAGGAGGACAAATGATGGAGAGCTGGTAATGACTATTATTTATCCAAACTCCATGCTATTCAAGCTGTGTGAAGATGCAGCTGGTGTATAGGGCCGTGCAGCACTGATAGAGGATTACGTCTCCAGAAGTCCAAGTGCAGCTTACAATGCTACCTCAGACATGGTGGTTATAGAGGGGAGTCAATTCACTAATGCTTGGCACTAAATGAATGCCGCATGACCTGTCAAATGGAAGTTATTCGGACTATGTCTATGACTTTGTCTGAAGATTTTTATTTTGGAAGTTCAAGTTAAGTTTGTTTTTTGTTTTAACCAGACTACACATGCATCTCGGTGCAGTTTACGTTAAGTGACAATATGCTTGGAAAGTTTTTGGTCCTGATACACACTGGGTGTAGCCCAGCTGTCGTTTGAGATGCAAAAATGCCTGCAAATGAACAATATTTTTCACAGCCAGAACAGGAACATCATCCCTACTTCAATGCCTTATTGCTCAGTGCCAAGTAGGGAGACAGCAGGTACCTTTTATGAAGGACTGCTACGTCCTTGGATGGGTTGAACCCATATCTTTGCTCTAAAAAATGAACACTGACCACAAGGCCATCATGTTGGTTTCTGAGGATGGATGTCTTCTTTCTTTAAGCCTTGGGATGCATGGAACTGATAAAAGTGTGCAGCCTTTTTATTTCCATAAGTTAAAAAGAAAACCAAAGTTGCATAAATTCAACGTCCAACAGATGTATTTAGTATTTTTATTTACAGAGTAGCAGATTCAGATTCACTCAGGGAAGTTTCACAGGTATGCAGGGTTGATTTTGATTCTTTTATTCAAGCTGCTGTAACCAAATCACTTACACAGTAAAGTAATAGTAATAATTGGTAACTTATATTTGGCCCTTTCAGGAAAGATAACAAATGTTAAAATGTTTTACCAGCTTTTCTAGATATTACAACCAAAGGTGATTTAACTTACTATCAGGTTGAACTTAAGGTGTAATTGATGCTTGATATAGCATGTGGTTTAATTTCTGAATATTGTATAAAAACAAAATCTCATACTTTAATGTGAAATCAAGTGAGATTCTTCGGATTTGGATATGGTGGGTTTTATATAATAAAAGACTAATAAGTGAGGTGAGGTGAGGTTAGAGGTAAATATTGACAGAATTTTTCCAAATACTTTTCTTGTCATTTTATCTAGTTTTGCGAGTCTTTTGCACTACAGTACATGTGATATTGCCCATGTTTTGCATGTTACTTTTGTATTGCTTCCCAAGACAACATGCCTGTGCATGTAATTTCATTATTATTGCTAAAAGGTTAACCCCACCTCATGCAGATTCTTGCACGTTTTCAAGTCTTGTATGACATCATGCAATGCAGATAGTCGATATCTTGGACGATTTCCATTGGACCACTTCCACTGGAGTTAATTACTGCCACTTTTTTGGTTTAAATATAGAATATCCAGTTCACCAAAATAAAGCATGCTAGCAAATGTGTAAATTGCTGGCTGACATCTATTTACATTAGTTTACAACATGCTGATGTACTTCTGGAACAAAAGGGAAAATAAAAGGCTTTATGCAGTAAACTTTCATAGTTTATTTTGCAAAGAGAAAAAATACACAGTCATTCTCTGTACAGTAGTTCACAAGTGTTTTACCCTACTTTAAAAAACAAAGAGGTCACATTGGCTTGTTGAAACCATACTCGTAATAGAAATCTCATATATATTACACAAATTTACAATGAGGGCATGCAGCAGAAAATAACGTACACTGTATCCACTGTACTTTCATTCCCTGAGAGCTAAAATTCCAGAAATTTAAACTACTTGAACTTTTTGCAAATAAAAAGAAAACCTGGGACACTCGAGCTAAGTTAATGTGGTGAGCAATTAAACTCAAATTTTATCTT